GTGCTGTAATCTACAAAACGCAATATGCTTCACGTATGACAGAAAACTGCGTGTGGATTACGCGTGCGCTCGCCTGGAAAAAGACGACCGCATCGCCGAAAGTGGTTGGCGGCCACTTCGAGCCAATCCGCTGGCTGCCGTGCGCATTGTAGCTCGTTAGCTCCGAACGGATGTTTTATTTTGCTTCAGATTCGTGTCCTGAAGCTTCGACAACACTGTATTTCTATCGACTCGGCCCCGTTTTCGAGTGCCATACTCAAATAACGGATGCGGTCGAATGAGCGAGTGATGTTGGGCCACTTCCTGAATCCCGGAGAAAACATAATGCGTTTGTTGACTACTGTTTTTATCCCCCATAGCTAGCCTCGCTTGACGTGATTCATGCCAACCTCTCCAACCTCCTCTGAAATTTCTACTATTTGTAGGTGTGTATATAAGTTAACACACACAAAAGCATGCATGAACGTATACATAAAAATCACAGCATATCCACGGAGTGAATGATGATGAGCGGGGGCGAAGCGTCCATCAGTCCGTCCACGCTTCTGTCCGTCCCTGCGTTCCTCCGTGTGTCCGTCTGTCCATGCATCTGTCCGTCCATGCGTTGATTCGTACGTCAAACAGACAGTCAGCGGATGATTGACGGTTCGCCAATAAAACCCTCCGAAGCTTCACCCCACTCGTCAACATTCGCTACGTGGGTATGTTGTAAGGTGGTCATTACATACATTGCACACATACAGGTGTCGACCGAACCATGCCTTCGTGCCTCAAGGAGCTTCGCCCTTAAAAGGTAGAACTCCATGCGACATCATCCCCCCCCCCCCCAAATCCCAGCAACTATTGACTGGCTCAGCATGTCTTAGCACCGGTACCGCAGTTTTATTCAAATAATATTGTGCTGTATAACTGTAGTGGACTTCCCAAAACCACGGTGTGATTATAAGAGATGCCTTGGTCGAACCCCAAAAAAAAATAAACGTTTTCATTGTTTATTCTGTTCAACTCACCCAGATCACTTTCAACGGGAAATCAAAATATTACAGAACGCAAAAGGACTTTTTGACGTATACTGCTGAAGTAGCTTAGTTTTGTTCAACACGGGAACATTCCACATGCACATGTCACACAACGATACAGAGCTGGGAATATTGCAAACTTTTTCTTGGTAATGGGAAGGGTGGTTGGAAGGGGGGGTGACTGCATCGATTGAATAGTCGGTGTTTCGCTGTTGGTCGTTGCGTTCCGTTGTTTTATGATACAACAGTTTCGAGGGGCAGGGGGTGGAGGCCTGGTGTGTCATCCTACGGCTACGCCTCTGACCGAGTCACATCTGACCTTTGCGCAGCACTTCTGTATTTGTCACCAACGATGGCAGCGCTGAAACTTAAACAACGTAATCATCTTCAAAACCGATAAGGGAGGGCCTTCTCATAGTGGCTTTTCACACGACAAATGGATCAACGAGGTAGCACCGAGAGCAGGTGTTTGCCTTCTGTATTTATTCAAAGTTTGGAAATATATGATAACTTTTTTTCAAGTTTGGAGGCACGCCTTATCGGGAAGCATAAGGTATGGGCAGTAGACGACATAACAACTTTGCTGTCTGTCGTTTGGTCTTCCTCTCAGAAGCAGGGCTGGGATTTTTTCCCAATATCTACAGTTCGAACTTTATGAAGAAAAGCAAACAGGAAATACAAGGGAACATATGTGCATATGTATACCACACATTTTTGCTTGAAAAATACATAAGCAGAGGTTGAACAGTTCTCTTCTAGCCTTGAGGAAGACGGGTCCGCTTGCCAGAACGCCTGCTTGACACAAACTTTGCTTACATACTTTTCATCGCAAGCTTCCATATGTGCTATACTATATAGAAAAGAGCCAGACACACATGGTTTCTACTCACACGGTTGCGATTTTCTGCATTACTTAGCGCACGACATATCAATGCAGCTTTCTTTCTTCCACTCTGTGTCTCTCCCTGTAATACAAAACAAACAGACGCCCGACCAGGACGTGTCTCGAGACGTTACAAGGAGATCGCATTTGCACGCATCGACGTCAACATCGAGCACGCTGCGGAGTTGTCGCGCGGTGACGTCCCACCGACTTTGACCAGACGGCCTACATAGATACACCGCGTGAAAAGAAAATAGACGACCACCAAAAAAAAAAAATGGCCCGTGGCGGCCGCAAACTTGTCCCAATAAAGGTGCTTCGGAGGACCCATTTCGAGCGAGACGCGTTGGCTCTTCTCCTCCGCGAGAGGAAAAAAAAGATGCCGTCGTGCGCCCTTGTTTTATCGAGTTACACCTAGTACACGCATTCTTCTTCCTCCGTAGTTGGGTGCAGTACTGTGAGGAAAGCGTACGCGTCCACCAATACGATGCACGGCGTCTGTGAACGCATTGCAGACGTTGCACAGGTACTAAGAGTAATGGGTACCTAGCTCAGTGCACGGAAATTTCATTATGTGCGGCAACATGTATTCCTAATGTTTCGCTCTGTTGGTTATGGAAGTACGCGTACCGTACCAAGTAAAAAAGTTCTGTTTATGCGTAATTGTCGTTTGATTGTACCACATTTAGTGACCACAGTTATATACCTTTCCTTACATAGATTTTTATTCAAATGTAGGTATATTCGTGATCAAACAACCAAACTAACCCTTTCCTTTCTTGATTTTTACATTACGTTTTTTTTTTTCTTGCTCACTCATTCGGGATTGCCACATTCATGCATTACTTGTTATCCCCAATGCAATTACATTGTGCAACATGCTCATGGGCTGCTGCACACCGTAAAGGGCCAAAGCCTTGCGATGCTGGCAATAGCACGCTTTTTTCCCGTCATTCCCCTAACCCTCATTGGGAACTGAAGTTTTAATTGATTGATTGATTGATTGATTGATTGATTGATTGATTGATTGATTGATTGATTGATTGATTGATTGATTGATTGATTGATATATAGAATTGTGTTAAACGTCACATACTAGCATGGATGAGCACGAGAATTTCTACGGACTAAACACTCTACGCTAAATGATAGTGGTTTCATTGTAGTTTCACTTATTCAGTGCAACATTCTGAGCATTCATGTTCCGCTTACTAAAACGAACGTCTGTGGCGATCTCTTAAAATGCTTATCAGCGGAAAAAGGATACCCTATACCAAGATGTACGTTTCAGTGCGGCACAAATTGTTGTCACGTGATAACGCTGGTAATATCAGTTTTTTGTACTTGCAACAGACAGAAAATCAAAATAGATTATATACATGTGGTGCTCTGGACAGCAGAACTACAGAATTGCCAGAATTATCTCGAGTAAGATAAGCCTGACAGTATTGAAGAGTACTTCTTGAACTACAGGTCTATAGCCATTGTTCATGCGCATCTCATTTGACGTCGTCATATAAAGAAAACACAAGGCTCCTTCAACTATCTTTTTTCAATATAAGATGGAATATTTAAGAACATGTGATGATGATACAACATATTTCCTCCCTTCTGTATTACGGCTTGTCCTCGTCCTATATATAGTTAAGCAAAGTCTTCAGTCGTCTCTCATGTTTATGCTTACTTTTCCATGTTCATCCCCTTCATAGCCGTACCTTTATTCCAAGTTGCTTATCTGCATCGTTTAAACAACGCGCCCAACAACCTTGCTTTATGTTGACCTCTGGTGGCGGTCTGAAGTAGCGCTTGCGTTCTCGCAGTGCCTCCGAGACTGTAGCGCTTTCAATCTCGGAAGCCACAACATGAAACGCTGCGCCGTATTTTATGGATCAGCGATTCCCCGCAGCCTCCAATAAAGCGAACATACTTTGGCCTTCTCTTTGTTTTGTTTTCTGTCTATTTCGCGCACAACGCGCCACCAATCATCAATTTCAGCTTTGTGTATCTCAAAGGCAAGCGGTACAACGAAAGAAATACGAACAAGGAAACGCTATAAGGAAGGAAGGAATTAGGTCCGTTTTAGAGCTGCTTCCTTTTCCAATGTACCGTTTTCTTTGCTTCCAGATTTCCTTCGGCGTGTTACATATACCAAGCGTACAAAACCGATGTTCGTAGACAGCAGCCCTTACGGAAAAAACCTTCCTTGAAGTCAGAAATGATAGTTGGAAAAAACCGTAATGAATTATTGATATCGACAGCAACCCACATATGTCGGTGTATACCTCTAGTTATGTCGGCAATTGAATACAGCCTGTGTTATAGCGTAACGAAAAGGGCGAAGTGAAGAGATTGGTAGTGCGATTTGTCCAGTTGTTTATTGCTCTTTGTTTGTGTAGAAACAAGGACACTGATGTGGAACGCTTTGATGGTTTGCTTGACTAAATTATATTAATAAAACAAACACCTTGACACCTGTATGAGGGGGCATTATCTGTATAAAATAGCAGCTGCCTTTTGCGTACCGATGATGAAACTTTGTGCATTTTTTTCTCATGCACAGTTATACGTATGTAATGCACTTATTACACACAATAAAATCAAAGTCACGGTTATTTCAATTATGTTTAAAAACAGGAATATTGATACAATGTGTATATACATGGAAGGCCCGTAGTTAGAGACTTATAAACCTCCTGTGCCTAATAACAAGAATTATAATAACAAAAATACAATGGCAACAAGTAAAGCTAACATTAACACAATCAGTTTGTAGACATGTCATAAATGAACACAAAACCAATAGTTATATGTGTTGAAGAAGCACAAGAAGGCAGAATAAGTTACGTAAATAACAGGATTATGTGCATATAGTCATCAACCGACAACATTCTTTTAGACATTGTCATTCACTGTAAAAAGCCTTTTAGCCCAGTTCCCTTTGGGTAATACTCCATTAGCACGTATTAGGAAGAAAGTAAGCTTTCCTAACTTGCTTACAATTGTAATCGTGATGATGACGAATGCGTTAACAAGGGCGAAATCGATGCGCCGGTACTGACGAATGCCGAAACTTTCGCTGTCATTCTCGTGCTTTTCAGATCCAGGAATTTTTCACATCCGACTGGGGAGCATGCGAGCCACTGAAGAATCCGCTCGTCATACCAGAGGTGAGTTTGCGAACAGATATATTTTATTGTGCGCGAAAAGTGGTTTGCATTTTATTGAATATTTCTGTCGACATATTTAGAAAGAATAGCATTCTGGTGCGAGTTGTGGAAGAAAGAAACGCGTATTCTAGTTAGGCACTCGTTTAGAGCCATAACGGCGACGAAAAATACATTTTCAATATTACATCTAAGACTGCGATGAAACAGGAACAAATCGATATTATCCGCCTCTTATCGGCATTTAGGTGTATTTTAGTACCCTCTCAGTGGAGCAGTGATTATAGGGCTCCACTCATGACTCGAAGGTCACGGGTTCGATTCCGGACGGCGTTCGCATTTCAAGAGGCGAAACGCTAGAAGCCCGTGTAGTATGTCATGTCAGTGCGCATTATAACCAGATGGTCGAAATTTCCGGAGCCCTCCTCCACTACAACCGTCTGTCATTAAAATCACATCTTTTGGCGTCTCCCCGCGACGATATTGTAGTTTTGGCACGTAAAACCTTGACTACTGATAAATTTACTTTCAAACTTCAGTGTATTTTAAACTACAGTTTCAGACGGTTAACGTAGACAAAAGTACCCAAGTTTGTGTGTCCTTCATCCAAATGTATACTTAGCGTTCACTTGAAAACAGATGTGCATATTGTTATGCTCAATTGTTCACGTTCCCCCAACGCAGATGAGTGATCCCCAAACATGGATTCGGTGTCAGAAGCACCTTCCAGACCATCCCAGTGACATTGAGGTACGTCCTGGCAAATTGTTTTATGGTGAAAGAAAAATTACGCGTTGTTATACACATAGACGTGTTACACGCAGTATTCACTGTTCAAAATAGACGCTGAAGCAGCCAATCGTAGCATCATTGGCAAATGTACTTTTTTCTTGCATCAAACTAACTTTGCTGGAAGCCAACGATCGCACATGACCTGTACGCTTGTAAGCACCCTGATATTGCTATCTTTTCTTGTGAGCATACCAATCACATAACCTCAAGTGTAACTGCCCTGAGCTTCCGACAGCCGTGTTCTTGGTTTATAGTAATATTATTTGTGTTTCTGACGCAACTAGCTTGATTTAGAGGCTGATTTTCTACTAAAAGAGGACTAGAGGCTGATTTTCTACTAAAAGAGGACTAAACATATGGCTAACACTATACGTACACTCCTGCTATATCAAAGTTTCAAAGTTTATTAGTATAAAGACCTTAACGAAGCACACAAAAAAACGCCCGCTCACATTTTCTCACGGGAAAAATTCGAGTAACTGCGTAAAAAAAACGAAAAAAAAAAGAGGGGGGGGGGGGCGTATCACATGAATGCTGCGTAACGGTGTATGGTTTGGGAATGCTTGTTATTTCGTCTTTATTATTCCTATTTACTGAATAAAGAAGAACCGTTGCCTTCAACGAGTAGTGGGATGCTAATGTTTGGTTAAGCCCCACTACTGGTTGAAGGTACTGTTGCTTCCATCGCATCTACTCGAGTCAAGCAGAGCGTCAACTCAAGCGAAATTCAAGTAAAGACGTCCTTGACTGAATTCCGAATGCGCTATCCTGTGCCTACATATACGGGGTGGCCAGTGAACGATGGTGTAGCGCGAACAGTCTTTTTTTTTTTTTTACTAGCAGACGCTGCTTGCGTCAGCCTTGCAAGGCGAGAGAAGGGGAAAGGAGCGACAGTTGGCAGGAGACGCGAGCATGCTGCACGAGACGCGAGCATGCGCAGTGGCTGTGTAGATGGCGCTGCCGAGGCTGGCTCGGCGACATGGTGCCACTAAGAAATGCTCTGCATTTAAAGTGAAGCTTCAAGTACACGCGCAAGCGCACAGAATATTCTGTGCGCAACTAACAACACATTTCTTCGAGGTTGTGTTTTGAGCAGCATGCGAACGCAGCTTCATGTCGCAGTAGGTACATGCAGCAGATACCCGTCATAATTTAATTCTGCTGAGGTCAAAGTTAAAGGGCCGCATGAAAGACGTGGCCGAAGAATTACCGCCGTATTCACAAACGCCCCTCGACTCGACTTTCGCCCTTAACTAGACAGAGTGGAACACTGCGCCGCTGCTCGGCTGAAAATGACGCTGCGCTGCTCGGGAATCGCACCACGTTATCGTTGATATGCAGTGACTTTCCGTGCCTACAGGGGGCGCTTCCATCTGGTTTCTCAGGGTTTTCACAACGAGAGTGGGAAAGGGCTGAGAAAAGGGTTCCTAGTTGTACATCAACAGGCCCAGATGGCATTCCAATTAGGCTGATAAATACATTAGGTCCGAAGTCTAAGCAGGCTTTGAGAGAGGCAGTGAGCAAAATAATAATCGATGGTGAAGTTCCCGATGGATGGAAACTTAGCAGGATGAGCATGATCTATAAAGGAAAGGGGGGCAAAGCTGACATAAACAACTACCGTCCTATAACAGTGACATCAGTGGTCTACAGGCTGGCGATGCAGATTATAAAGGAAAGACTGCAGGCATGGATAGAAGATGAGGGCGTGCTGGGGGAACTGCAGAATGGGTTTAGGAAACACAGGAGGTTGGAAGACAATCTGTTCTCACTGACGCAGTGCATCGAAATAGCAGAAAAGGAACACAGGCCCCTGTGGCTAGCATTCTTGGATATCAAGGGAGCGTACGATAGCGTGGTTCAAGAGGAATTGTGGGGAATACTGGACACACTAGGCGTGGAACATGTAGTCACTAGTCTTTTAAAGGGTATCTATAAAGGTAACAAGGTAGTTATAAAGTGGGAAAAACAGGTATCGAAGCCTGCAGAGGTAAAACGGGGGCTTAGGCAGGGGTGCCCCCTGTCACCCTTATTATTCATGATGTACCTACAAGGATTAGAGGCAAAATTAGAAGGAAGTGGGCTGGGCTTCAACCTCTCTTTAGTCAAACAAGGAAAACTTATTGATCAGGCACTACCAGCATTAATGTACGCAGATTATATAAGGCTAATGGCCAACAACAAGGAAGATTTGCAGAGATTGATGGACATCTGCGGTAATGAGGGAGATAGGTTAGATTTTAGATTCAGTAAAGAAAAATCAGCAGTCATGATTTTCAATGACAACGAAGGTAGTGAGCTTAGGATACAGGAGGTCACGCTTGAGATAACAGATAAATACAAATATCTGGGCGTATGGATAAGCAATGGGACCGAGTACCTGAGGGAACACGAAATATACGTGACGACTAAAGGTAACAGGAATGCAGCAGTGATGAAAAATAGGGCACTGTGGAATTACAATAGGTATGATGTTGTGAGAGGAATATGGAAAGGGGTCATGGTTCCTGGGCTGACGTTCGGCAATGCGGTCTTGTGCATGAGATCAGAAGTTCAAGCAAGATTAGAAATTAAGCAACGTGGAATAGGTAGGCTTGCTTTAGGAGCTCACGGGAATACACCAAATCAGGGAGTACAAGGTGATATGGGATGGACATCATTTGAGAGCAGGGAAGCTAGTAGCAAGATAAAATTTGAGAAGCGATTGAGAGAAATGAAGGAGGAGCGTTGGGCTAAGAAGGTTTTCAGCTACTTGTACATCAAGAATGTCGATACAAAATGGAGGAAGCGAACCAGGAAGTTGACTGGTAAATACTTAGAAAACAGCAGGTGGCCAAACCAAAAAGAACTATCGGTTAAGAAGAAAGTGAAGGAAACGGAGACTGACATGTGGAAAATGGGCATGATTAAGAAGTCCGCACTAGAGATCTATCGAACTTTTAAGCAGGAAATTGCCAAGGAAAGGATCTATGATAATACTCGGGGTAGTTCTCTACTGTTTGAGGCAAGAACGGGAGTACTGCGAACCAAGACATATCGGGCCAAATACGAAGGGGTAGACACAGTATGCAGTGCGTGTGGAGAAGAAGAAGAAACTGCCGAACACTTGATAATGTTCTGTAAAGGGCTTCACCCTATAGTTCAGGATGATGGCGCAGAGTTTTTCAAAGCACTGGGGTTTAGGGACCGGGAGGGCAAAATAGACTTTAAGCAAGTAGACTTAACTAGAAGGAGGTTATCTGATTGGTGGCTAAAGTCAAGGCACGAGTGAAAATTAAACTCTTCACTGCAAAGTACGAATCCTCAAACTCACTTTTTAAGGAAAAAATAAATAAATATAGTTTTGGGTTCATTAAGTATTACGGCTTGGTGGCGCTAGCCACCGCCCGATCTAAAGGGTACAGCCATATCCATCCATCCATCCATCCATCCATCCAGGTTAAGGTGAAGCGTTGAGTGAAGGGACGTTCTAGAATACGGGTGTCAGAGTCGAAATGATAAATGCAACAACTATGACAATAAAATAAAAACGAGAAAACACAAAGAAATAAATGCGATAAACGTGTTCTTGGATTGCGAATTTCGTCAGAATCTGCGATCCACGTTGACATGCAGTGTTCTGTGTATGGATTTCGTTTGCGAAACTGAATGTTACACCTGGAAAATTCAAACATTCATTTTTTTATTGTGATTGTTCGCCATTCGTAATATGCAGGAATACCTCCCAAGGCTCAGCAGATGCATGCTCAAGAGCACTGGTTGGGTAAGTGGACCACTACATCCATCCCGCTTTGTTTTTATCTAGCATTCCGTAGCATCATCTTCGAATGCAACTTTTCTTATCGTATCCTTCTCATATCTTTTTCACCTTGCAGGTTCGAAGCAACGGCAACATGAACCTAAGCAAATACCTTCAGTACCTGAGTCTCCTTGGCCTTGACAATGAGGTGCGTCGTACTTCGATGCGTTTTGTAGTACCGATAGTTATACGCGTGCATACGCTCATCATAGAGTATAATACGTGTTGGGTCCCATAAACCATTGATTTCGGTCCATTTGTACAGATCCCACATACATATTTATATTGAACGGCTAGTTCCTAGTTCAGTGAAATAATGCACTGCAGGACGGAGCTGAGAGCCACACATGTATAAGGAAAACAAAGCCAGCGGAAAATATTTGGAATGTATTTTTTCACGTGACGTGTGACACAGAAAAACAACGATATCCAAATAGTTAAGACGATAACCTGAGAGTAGGGAAGCACAGGTGTGAAAAGTAGTCATGCCTGCCTACGGCGGAGTGGCGAAATTCCTTTAAATGTAATGGTCAACCATTCTTTTTTTTTTAACTCGCCACGTATACTTTTAAAAGGTGCAAGGTTAGAATGCCTTATCTGGGCACTGCATCCCATTTGTAGACCCTGAATGAAGTCTGATAATTGCACAGGACTCTAGTCACTTTTCTATAGAAGGTAAAACGTTACGCGAAAAAACACGAGGTCCGAAGGGACGCTTTTGAAAGACGAGCGCAAACTACCGACTGAAGTATAATTGAGGAGACACAAAATACGTATACGTGTAAAATCAAACAACAAAATTATCCCTATAGCTCCGCCTTTATCGCGACATTAAGGTAATATCTTTTTGCTCAACTGCTACTGACGCGCAATCGTGGCATGTGTCTCCTGCACGCACAATGTAAAAAAAGTGCTACCATATCCATTAAGTGAATGATGATGAGTGGGCGAAGCTCCGAACGTAAACCTGGTAAACCATGAATCCTCCATACATTTTGCCCACTCGATTTTATTACAACGCTTTCCCTAGCGTACGTCGCCGCACTAAATTCAACGATTGCCTTCCACCAATGACACGCGCCATATGTGACATAATTCCTATTTTATAACATCTCACATCTTTCATCATCAACTACAGGTACCGCCGTCTAGTTTATAACATCTTGCATCTTTTCATCATCAGCTACAAGTACCGCCATCTAGTGACCACTGCAAGAACTAAACGAGAGGTGGCTACATTTAGGGAACGCACAGCCCACGTCGTAAGGAGCTTCGCCCCTAAAAGCTTCGAGGATATCCCTCTTTGATCTATCACCAGATCGCGCCAAAAACTTTGTCTTATTAAGAATTGGACGGAAGCTGCAGCGCTTATAGCAGTGCAGCTGCCGTCAAACTGCAAATTCCCACTCGAGTTGTCGTTTACTGGCCAGTTATGTTCGGGAGATACAGCTGGACAGTAAAGGCCAAGCCTCTCTAAGAGCAACAGCTTGTTTAAATCTATTCACGGGCATGACAGAGCGTAGAAATATTTTAAAGTCAATTATGACGTTCACTGTCGTTTTTTTTATTGTTCACAACTATTAGTGGAATACCATACATAATATACAACGTAATATGCGTACTATATCACAAATGTTCAAGTTAAGTCTTGTCAAGGTTCATTATCCATGAATCCAAGATACATGAAATGTAATGGAAAAACTATAGCACATAGCGGGCTGCTCCAACGTCTGCACAGGTCCAGCCGCTCCGCTACATCAGGCTGGGTTAAAATACTATTTTGGACCATTATCGATTCAGTCATAATATGACCATTATGAAAAAACGTTGGCAAACAGAGGCGCAGTTAACAGGGCTACAAAGAAATGTGCAAAACAATAGTAGTGTAAGTTCCTTATTTCGTTATCACTAAAAGATTTGCTAAATAAAAATTATTACTATACAAAGAAGCTCCAATTATGATACAAGAAGCAGGGAAAACACAGTGCAATAACCCAATACAAGCGCAATATGATTATGTAGCTACAGTGGAGATACAAAACAATGAAGTACGTGAACGTGGTTGCTTCAACGAGAAACAAACACTCCGCAGCCTGCGCGTACCATGCAGCATATGCGAGCACGTCGACACTTTCCTACAAACGCACGAATGCTGCAATAGCCGTGATACGAGCAAGCACATCTTCTTTATTCAAACAGGACCCTAATTTTGATGGATCATCGTCTCACCTACTTTCCTATCTTACCTTCCCTTTTCGCTTCATCCGGGAACCATTTTTACAACAACACACAAGCTAATGCAACGTATCATGCAATATGCGCGAGAACTCGCCATCACACACGAAACGAAGCGATAGCGGCTTGCTACCGAATATGAAGACCTATGACCTAGCCGTGACATCAAGAAGAGGAGGTATACAGACAGAGAGAGGGGCGTTTTCTACATAGAGTTTGTGTACTTTCATTAGGGTTTGCTTTGCTTTGTGCGGCAACTGCTAGCGGTCGCTGGTGTCACCGTCACTGCCGTACGCACACTGTAACGCTTCATAACACGAAATGATGTGGCAGCGTATGCTGTAGACACACACACAGGCAGACTCGCACTTCATACACACACATGCGCACCACGATGTGAACCCCAGCTGACTTAAAAGCAGTGATCCCTTTACCCCATCCGAGGCGCACACACAGACAAACGCACGCACACCATGATATGAAGCCTGACTCAAATCACGAGCGGCTCAAGCTCTTTCCACCACCCGAGGCTACCAATTATAATGACGCGTCATACGCCAGAGGGCAGGGTTTCCACCATCGCGGCGCATTTGTGCCGATCTTAGCGAAGGTTATGACTCTGCCTTATGTGCGGGTTCCCGGCGTTTGCAACGACGCCGCACACAACCGTTTCATTCTTCTCACACGTCTCCACTTTATCTTCTTTGCAGACAATGAACAGCACGCGGGAGGCCCACAAAGGATGCATTTCAAAAGCGGTGAGTGTTCTTGCGTGCGCATGCGCAGACAGGCACGCCTTCCATTGCACCGCGAGTTTTCTCTATCGGCAGATGAAAGCGCTCCCGTATATAGAAGCTATAAAAGTTGCATTACTTGCTGTGATAAAATTGAAGATGAATTACGCAAATGTTGATTGCCTACCGGCAAGGTTGATGTGCTGTATGATGCATAAAGTTGGGCCAGGACTGAATAGTATTTTATAAAAAAAAGTTTATTTCACGTAACATGGCATTGAGTCGAGTGTAAATATATGTTACAAATTTCAGCTTTGTGACGCACACGGTGCATGCCGCCTTGTTTACGGAGTACGCTCGTAGCACTCATTCATTCATTCATTCATTCATTCAATCAATCAATCATTCATTCGTTGAAGACAGTCACTGCATATGGCACACAAAAGCAGCTGTAAAGGGTCTGTCAGCTAAAAAGCAGCAAGTAATAAAAGTTATTCATCAGCGCTACGTGTCTTCAATTGGCGCGTTATTATTTTGAGCCAGATAGAGCATGTCAGAACATTTTTCTTCCGATCCGCCAAGCTTGACGAAAATTGTCTGATGATCTTTTTTAAATAGCGAGTCTAAGAGAAAAACATAAGAGTTTCAATCAGCGGTAAGATCTGTGCTGCTTAAATTTTTCTAGCCTTCGTTTAAAGTGCACCACTTTGAAAACATAATACATAATTGTGGCCTAACACGTTGCTTTTTTATTGCCCTGTATTGTAAGTTCAAGGAATCATCAGACTGCTCACACACGAAGGTCATTTGAACGAGCTAGCAGTGATTACGATGGACGTTAAGCAACGGTAGGGTGGTACCAATAAAAAAGGAAAGAATGAACTTTAATGAAAAAGCACCCACCACGTGCGAATATGATACGAGATCGCAGGCAGCATTCGACGCAGGAAAACAAAATAAGCCCCGCCGCGGTGGTCTAGTGGCTAAGGTACTCGGCTGCTGACACGCAGGTCGCGGGATCGAATCCCGGCTGCGGCAGCTGCATTTCCGATGGAGGCGGAAAGGTTGTAGGCCCGTGTGCTCCGATTTGGGTGCACGTTAAAGAACCCCAGGTGGTCAAAATTTCCGGAGCTCTCCACTACGGCGTCTCTCATAATTATATGGTGGTTTTGGGACGTAAACTCCACATATCAATCAATCAATCAGGAAAATGAAATAAAATTTTTATTTTGTTTTATTTTCGCGTTAATGATAAAGATGTCGCCCTCTCCCCAAACGTCATACATAAGCAGCGAAGCTGAAATGTGCGGCTGCAAGCGGTTGGAGACGTCACGCCCGAAGCCTAAGTGCCACTTGAAAAACTTCCAACGATGCGGGCGTTCCGTCGTTGCCATGCTAACGCTGATCTGCCCACAACGCCGCTTCCTCGGCTCGCCGTTTTCCCTTGCATTCGGTTCGGAAGGCTGCCGCATCCTCGGTGCGCATTTGCTGCTAGCGCTTCGTCACCCAGGCTTGTTCTTGTGCCCGAAATCCGTCGATCCGGCGACCATGAATTCACTGTCGGCGCTGTTCTAGGAAAGATATTGAGTTAAATGCAGGAAGAATATGGATACATGCATATGGGACATGCAAGCATATGGCTGCATGCTCATGGTGATATGCCCTGAAATTTTCAGTTGCTTTTTTGTCCTTTTGTCACAACAATATAATAGTTATTTTCTTTGCCCCTCTTCTGTTTCAGTACAAGGAAACAGACTTCAAAACTCAGGTTGGTGTTCTTCCATCAAAATTGATTCTTATGCGATATGTAGAGGCTCTTCAGAAGCAGTTTATTCCAATAGCTATTTTGCTACGCATTCGCAGAGTTGTGGTGGGATGTCGATTGTCATTTTTCACTTTAATTTTGCGCAGGACAAACTCTACGTGGAATGCATCTTCAAGCATTTCACCAAGGTAAGGCGTTTTTTACACAATCAATTCACCTTGATGTGGTCGCACTGAACATTACACCATCATTTACAACAAATGCTCTGTCTCGGCAGGTGTGTGGGCCAAACTTTCAAGGAGCAGTCAAGGAAGGTGAGTGACGTCATTTTCAGATATCTACGTCTGAATGTCGCCGCCAACTAATGTTGCGAATAAACATAATATGTACCACGAGCTTAAAAAGACAACACGTGATATACATTTATATCGCTGCCCACCCATCGAGAACAAATAAAAAGAAAAAGCTCCGACCATAATAAAAATATCCGCGGAGTGAATGATGATGAGTGGGGTGAAGCTTCGGATGGTTTCATCGGTAAACCGTGAATCCATCCGTCCATTTGTCTGTCTGTCCGTCCATTTGTCTGTCTGTCTGTCTGTATGTCTGTCCGTCCATCTGTCTATCTGTCTCTCAGACTAGCACCACCGGCTGAGTCATCCATAAACTAAGAGGTCATGGACCGGTCACACTAGAAAAACCGACCCATGGCTTTAGGATATTCACTCCTAAAGGGATTAGAACATATTATGAATGCTTAGGCTACCGTGCGGGAGACCTGTTCACAGTAAAGTGGCCCATTGAAGCGTACGTCCCTTTTGAAACGTTGCCCAGACACCTTTTTTGTTCTTGATGCTTCCCAACCAGGCCTTGTCAAGCCACCAACTTGCCTGACTAATGCGAGTTATCAATGATAAGTCTACGGGTTATCATTCGAATAAACTTGGAAGTTCGAGTCAATGACGACGGCTAGCACGTTTGCTAGCGAAAACTCGCTGTGATGTCACCACTTACAACGAATAGGTGCAATGTTCATAGTTCGTCGCTAAAGATATTACGTTTTCGAGGAATCTACAGTTCTGCACTGTAATAATATCTGACAGCGTTTTCGGAATAAGAACTGCATATAGTAGGGAAAGGAAATTACTTATGTCGTAGAACATCCGGGCTCCGGTGGTGGCGTGATATTTATAGATAAATTCTAGCTTCCATCATTCTAAAATTCTGAATGAACGGTGGACATCATAAGAAGTAATTCAATAAAAATCGGGTTGTTCAATGTTTACACTTTTCGAAGCAAAACTAATTGCAAACATAGCCGTCTCAGTTAGCACTTGCAGTAACAATTTGGTAAACGTAATGCTCATCATAAGCCAAAAAATGAAGATATTCCCCAACTCATCCATGACCTCATATTCATCTTTGATCACTCGCTATTACAGCAAAGCTGTAATAGCGAGCTGTGTCGAAGGCAAAAAAAAAAATGCCGATCATTATGAACAGACACGGGCTTAATCACCGCCCAAGCATTCTGTGCAGATGCTTTAAAAATGAGCCTGAAACTCAATTTTCGGTCATCTTTGAGTATTCACGCATAAGCTGGCTCAATTTTAGCCCATTTGGTCGATCACTTACTTTATTATTCAGTATTTTGACAGACACGTGAATTTCCCGAGAGTTGGGCAACACTGCGCACTAGCGAGCCTTAATGTAACAGCAGGCGTGTTATTCTGGACACCGTCGAATTCCGCCATGCTTGTCAGATTCCGCCATTGGTCGATGCTGATTGGTCCAGTGGACTGCCACGACCTCTCTGATATGCCTAAAATGCGGCCGTTACGTAATTTGACAATTTGGTGGCAATTAGACAGTGTCCAGAGTAGCACCCCAGCTCGCTGTGTGTCTGCGTTCCAGCTGAACGATATTGTTCCATAACCACTCCTTGCTGGCACGTGACGTCACAGGAGCCATGGCAGAATGGCGGTTGCGGCAGTGGGCGAGATTTACAGTCAGCTACTTTCAGGATGTTTTGGCCTGAAATATTCTTGAAAGGTCCACTTTTAATGTTTGCATAGGCGTAGTAGACCTAGTTTAGAGTTATCCCCGAAAAAAAAAAACTACATATTGTTGGGTGACCCTGTCATGGCCTCTTCAACAAAGGAAGCCACAGCATGCGGTCCCTAATGGCCACGTATAATACAGTGTCGCCAAGAGGGTTGGGGGGTGGTGAGAGTATAAAGAGACAGGTGAGACGATCGAAGCTAATGTAAGCCCGGAACTGCCAAGTGATCGCCAGCTCAGCTGTGACTCAGGCCTGCCTGACCCAATGCTATGTGTAGTAACTTTTGCGTAATTAGCAAAACTACTTATGTAGCTGAGTTGCAAAGAATTCTTCCATGTAAAATTTCAAAACAATTGGGCTTATGGATCGAAGATGAAAAGCTTCAAAGTTCTCGAAACATTCATGAGATTAACAAGCTTGTATCTTTGGCAGAGCAAAGCATCTCGCCTCCGTGGCGCAATAGGCTAGCGCGTTCGGCTGTTAACCGAAAGGTTGGAGGTTCGAGCCCTCCCGGGGGCGGCGTAATTTTTTTTTATAAAAACAATTGTTTTTTTTAACAATGCGTACTATTTTTTTTCAAACAGGATGCCAACCTAAAGAGAAAAAAAGATTTGTTTTCATAGCCACAGATAACTCTCAAAATTTCAAGATAACCATGCTTGCCGCAAGCACACGCTTAGTATGCGACAAAACGCGCAAAGAAAAAGCGGGTGGCAGTGCGACCTTGACATTTACGCCCTAATCACCGCCACGCGATAGATTTTGACGCCATCTGTTATTCTCACACCATTTCTAATCAGTAATAATAAAGCACATTGTCATCTGAGACGGTCATAGACTTGACATACCAAGTTTTTAAGGAATCGCGCTGAGCCAGTGTCACGAAACTACAAGGAACGCAATTTGCAACCCTTGACGACGCGCTCCACGATTATGGCGCGAAATTTAAAAATGAATCATTGAACTTCATTTTCTCCCTGTAATAAAGACGCCAGAGTCAAAATAACAACGTTAGTCCTAAGAGTACAATTTGTCAATATAAAGCAATTCATCGTTCATCTTAGTGTTCCTTCAAGCACGAATATGCAAGGCCTTCGTTTCAGTGACGTTTGGCAATCAGTTTTGGTCGTACAGCAACTGCTGTGACTAGTATTTTAGAGCTCCGCAAAGTAGCATGAACCGCATACCTGTAGGGAAAGCAAGAAGAGCAAAGGCGCGGAGGATAACCAGGCGAGCGTCTTGTTTGCTACGTTACATCGGGGATAAGGGAATATGGATGAGAGAGAGTGCAAGCACTGGACGCACCTAGAAGTGCGGTCAGTCACTGAGGTCCAGAGTTTCTCTGACACACATAGCTTCAACGCTTCTGACATGCGACTCACGCGGGCAATCGAGAGGGTCGTGGGCGAGCTCTGATTACTGAAGCGCTCGAACCACTGGATTAAGAACTTCCAGCATTTACAGGGAGCTGTCGGAGTATTTAGCCTATTCAAAGGCCTAAATATTGTGCCCAGAAGAGATCGAAGCATCGTAGGAATGTTCTGGTCTTTTTTTCAAGCAGTAGTAATTAAATTCTGCTGAAGGTAGACATCGTTGCAGTCTGAGTAAAATTGGGGTTCAGGGTAAGTGCTGCGCGCGGCCATCCGGTTAGAGTAAATCCGACAGGACCTAAAGTCTTCGCTGGTTAAAATGTTTACGAACCAGCTGTAGGAATACTTTTTTTTCCACCATCTTCGGTTCGTGTTATCGGCGTGACAATATATCTCGCCTTAGTGGCAAGATCCATTGTCATTGGAAGTATAGTTACCTCGATATAATAGGCACACTAGTCATCATGCTAAATGTTTGGACGTCACTTTACAAGAAGCAAAATAAATGCAAAACGCATAAATAAAACCTCTGTAAGGAATTATTGAGCAATAGTGTTAGGAAACACTACCATATTACATCGCACGCGGCAAACGAACAATTCTGTAATGTAAAAAAAAAACAGTTCGAGAGAGTTGCTTGTTAGGCGAATTGGTACATACTTAGTAAACAACAAAAGCCACAAAGCACTAAAATCGAAAAAAAACAACAAACAGGGCAGTAGAAACAGACATAGAGCAGAGACGTCAGTTAGTGCCCCGTCTTTGCTCTTTGTCTCTTTCTACTGCTCTGTTTGTTTGTTTGTTTTTATTTCACCGTTTTGTGGCTTTTGTAGTTCAGTAGAAAAAAAGTGTTTCAAAAAACGTGCTCGATAAACTTCAAACGTAAGTGATATGCCGCAATTGCTTTTTACTTTTACAGTTTGGCTATCCGTACCAACCAACAGGCACTCGCTATGAGACATCAAATTGTCCTACACATGCTGCCAAGACGCACACAATAAGAGATTAACAGATTGATTTCAAATCATTTTATTCCTCTCAGGTGGTCAGGTAAAACGGGAGAAATGCGAAGTCGGAGCCCCTTCTGTTTATTGATTTTTATCCAGCTTACTATGCAACAGAGTTGCGATATTGACCACGCAAAAAACAAAAAAACGCTGCACAGGGCACCTTTAGGGGAACACGCATGGAAAGCAGCTTCTCAACGCTTCGATTGATTGATTTGTAGGGTTTAACGTCCCAAAACCACCATATGATTATGAGAGACGCCGTAGTGGAGGGCTCCGGAAATTTTGACCACCTGGGGTTCTTTAACGTGCACCCAAATCTGAGCACACGGGCCTACGACATTTCCGATCGGAAATGCAGCCGCCGCAGCCGCGATTTGAACCCGCGACCTGCGGGTCAGCAGCCGAGTACCTTAGCCACTAGACCACCACGGCGGGGCCTTCTCAACGCTTCAACAAAGGAACATGGAATACATAACGCATTACCTAACGAATCAACAAATGGTCATAATTAATAAGAGGGCTAGCATAGAAATGTTTTCCACGGTTGAAGAAAAACGAAGTGGGGAGGAAAAAGCACACGAAGTAATGGAAGCCATAGCACCGACATAATTGCGTCGCACATTTCAGGACAACGGCTACAGTGATACATTTTTTTTGTGTGTGCGTAATGACTCAAAACTATCAGTAAACAAAACTAGCATGTGGCCATCGTAGTTAGTTCAAAACGTGTCAACAATACAAGGTTCTCTAACTTGCATAGCTTAAAGAAGAATTATGTTGCTGCAAGGACGCCACTCCTCTCAAGCGTCATATATACAACTTTACAATCACTGGCCAATCCTAAATTTCCATTTAAAGCGTGATGTTCATGAAATGCGGCCACTGACAATAGGTAATTATTGAGATTAAGAAGTAAAAAAAATACAGCATATCCACGGAGACAATGATGATGATGAGTGTGACGAAGCTTCAAAGGGTTTTATCGGCAAACCGTGAAACATTCCCTGGCCGCGTCCAACCATCTGTCTGTTTTTGTATGTATGTATGTATGTGAGTATGTATGTATGTCCTTCCGTCTGTACGCTCGTTTGTCTGTCTGCCGTCCGTCTGTCCATCCGCATGTCCATCTGTATGTATGTACGTCCATTCATACACCTAGTGAACGCTCCAAGTACACCATCATCTCGCATCTTTTCATTATATATTCTTCATATACAAGTGCCGTCATCGAGCAGACATTCCAACGACTAAAACGAGCTTTTCCCTAATAGAGAAAGCTCTCACACATCAAATAAGGCACGTGACAGGCATGAATCAGTATACATGTACAATCATGCGAAATTATTTTTCATGTGTGTTTATATGATGTGAGAGTTTTCGTTAGAATACGTGGTTCCTCGTTTGGCCTATATTCGATATTTGCAATACGATACAACAATAGATAGATAAATTGCTAGCTAGCTAGGCTAGATAGATAGATAGATATAGAGATAGATAGATAGATAGATAGATAGATAGATAGATAGATAGATAGATAGATAGATAATAGATAGATAGATAGATGATAGATAGATAGATTAGATAGATAGATAGATAGATAGATAGATAGATAGATAGATAGATAGATAGATAGATAGATAGATAGATAGATAGATAGATAGATAGATAGATAGATAGATAGATAGATAGATAGATAGATAGATAGATAGAGTCTACGCCAATTTTACCGTGTACGGTCACACACCCGTAAGCGCCAAGACTGGCAAAGCTGGCGGTTGTTTCCAAACGCGAACTGTTCCTGCCGATTGCACTTTACGAGCAGTCCCAGTCAACAGGTCGATCGCTTTCAGCCACCTCGTTTTGTGGGATTGCGCAGGTTACATTGTCGGCATCACGCAGCTGAGCTTCATGCCAAGGATGGGCCCGATGGAGGTAGTCGATGACGTGGACGATGACGACGTCGTGGAGACGCCGCCCGAAGAGCCCGCGCCACGCCCAGTCAACGAAACCGCCACCATTGAACCATGAATGAGAGTCATGACTCATTTGCACAATTTGCGAGTATAACGCGTAGATTAGACAATCATAGATGTACCTGTTAGCTAACCGAGTCCTATAACGTATTGATTGGCTCGCGTAAGAAAAAGTTTGGAATCGAATATACAGAGCTTTCATTCACGCGTGGTAAACTGTGGTAAAAGACTTCGCAATATGAAACGAGGAATGAAGCCCGAATTGTAATTGTTTCGAAAACGCCTATATGGCTCTGGATTTTTTTTTCTTTGCAGTTCGGGAATGCATCAAGCACATTAGGTGACTGATTCTCCCCGAAGCAAGTCGTACAAAGTATTAAATTTGTTATTAGGTACCACTAAACATAAACATTTAATCGGTTTCGAATCGATGACGTAAAATTAGAACTGTTCACTCGTGCATGGTAGCTTGCAATATCATGCCAGAGTTATACTCGACGTTTGTTTTCGAAGACCACGTTTACCCGTTTTCTAATGAGTGCAATTATAGCGACTTCTGACCGATGATCATCTACCGCATTTTCTGGCGCACTGCGCGATCATAGCTAATATTGGCACGAACCGGCCTCATTCACTAAAAATGGCTACAGCGACTGTTACAAGGACATCCGGTCTGTATTCGATAATTGCGTTGCGTATTTCTCTGTGAAATATGACCTGCTTGTAGATACCGTAAGGTAATTGAAAGCATGAAAACTTAATATATAATAATTATGTCAGTGTTATCCTGTATTCCGGTCTGTTATGAAATCAATGAAGCGTTTGTGACGCTCCCTCACGTAATTACAATGTACTGCAGTCTATTCGTATTTATCACAACAAAAAGACCGAACAGGCCACGTTAAATATTGTAGATATATTCAAGAACACGGCTGATAAGGGCACGTAAATGTTACGTGATGGCATATTTTTCCGTTTTTTTTTATCGCCTTATCAAGTCGGCACTCACGAAAGCGGCTTTCTTCTCGGCATTGTAGAAGCCCAATATAAAAATACAGCTTAAGTTCTTGTTTTTTGTTTTGCTTAAGCCGCATTTATAGAAACTGAATGTCGCACTACGTAATCACAAACCCAAAACGATGCCATCGGTAATATTTTAACCGTTTCAAGTCAATCGCGTACAACCACACACGTATTTTAGAGTTGTTGCTAGCCACTGTATTTAACGATCTTGGCATTGAGCTACAACTTTTGAACACCTCTTTTTGGCGCGTTTTTCAATCAGTGCGTGACATTTACCCCGGTTTGAACGTCTAAGCTAGCTTCATCGCAAGCTTGGTGTCATTACGATTTCTTTTTTATTTAGTCATTGCGAGCGTTTTACTGTCTAATCACACCGAAATACCCAGGCACAGCAGCAACTAGGTGATTTCAGGATAAACCAAAGTAACGTTCGGATAAACAGTCTTCGAATTCTGCCTCACAGTTCGTATAATATACTCGTTTCACCCAACGCCCGTTCGCCCAGCAGTGAACATTGCATCTACAGCTTCAATTACGTTATTTGCCTTTGAAGCATACTATACTATCAAATCATTACGAATATGCGATCTATCACGACTTAACACAAGCACCGCAACTTCATACTCAATGTTCGTGGGATGCGCAATATTAGTCTTTGTTACTGCATATTCATACGGTACCATTCCAAAGATTCATCGAACTTATATATAGGAACGCCACACTGAAACAGAAGCAGCTCGTACCTTAATTTGCATTGTTTGCTGCTTACTATATCTTGATATTCCGGGTAACAGAGAGTGCACAGCTTGTTAGAAAGGAAATACTTTAATGCTTGTAACATCCTCGTTGCGACCGAGTTCACTTCTCAAATGCCACTATTTGAAAATGCCCGTACTCGGCAACCACCGCGAACACGCATGCAGCGAATGTTTCTGCAATAAAAATTCATTTCACAATATCGTTTTCATGCCTGTACTGCTTTACACTTGCATATATTTGCAAAGCTCATATTAGCGTATAAAAAGGTAAGTGTAAATTCCTTCATTATCGAACCTAACAACACTTTGGAGGAAAAAGAGCATGCAAAAGTGCAAACAATAGCGTCCTTTTTTTTTTTTGCACAAGACACCTAACGTCCGATCCATCTTAGATCACTTTTACTTGTTTTTTTTTAGAAGTACGGGAACACATGCTTAACAAGCCTGTCAATCATAGGCTTTTTGTACTTGTGTTTTGTAAAAAAAGGCATCTTTAGAACATTAGAAAAAAACTGCGCTGCTACAAACACGTGCACGAAATTAGTACAGCATGAGCTCTAATAAGTCCGGCAATAATTTTGTAGACCCACTTCCTGCTGGAGTTCTTCAACCAGGAAATGTTGGGATACTTGAAACTTGGCTGTCTGATCTAAACCCAGATCATGATTAGCCCTATGAAAATTACCGTTACAATAAGGGTAAATTTGCATATGCAAACTAGGAGGTTTCCGGTTATAGATATATGTCAAGCAGTGTTCTGCATATAATTTACCGCTTAGTATATCTCTACATTTTATGTGAATTTAGGTAAAACGTTTTAATATGCATAGAACACGTGCATGCTTTGGTTGGGTTGGTTCACGTGAATGCTGTTGCGCATAAGCGAGTGAACGTCATTGACAACTGCAACCTGGACCCAGCAAGGTGCAGAAGTCTCGCTATCTCTCGCACTTCGTGTCGTATAGGCAGTTATCACGCAGCATTAACCTTCATCTCAACTTCACTACTTACTGGTCGCCAACACACCCCTCTGCCACTTCAATTTTTATCTCCTCTACGAGACACATACCCTGCTAAGGAACAGAAGGAAGAGCTTACCAAATTTTACCATTCATAAATCACGCCAAAAATGTACAATTTGATTGCCGCCGAAGAGATGAGTCGCTCACGGGCGAGCCGAATCTTTTGAGCAGCTCAGTGAAAGTCAGCGTTGGTTCTTTGGCAGTCAGCTCACGGAGCATAGTCACTAAAAGCGGCGGTTGTCTCGCTCAGTGAGCTGCAAGAGCCGTGCTGACCCGCTGGTTGAACCAGATTGAACCACTCCATTTCTATCGCGTTCTGCGACAGATACGCTGCATTTTGGTACGGCTTTTGCGCCATCTCTAGGCGGTGGGCGCGAGCACCTCTCCCCTCACTTCAGGGCTTGTAGTCCACCTCTCATCGACATTTAGAACGAATGGGTAAAACCACTTTGAGCACAAAACAGTATTCATGCTATAAAGCAGTTTTTCTGCTAGTAAAAACAAATGGGTAAAACCACTTTGAGCACAAAACAGTATTCATGCTATAAAGCGGTTTTTCTGCTAGTAAAAACAAAAGTCATGGCCACTTCATGCGACCCCCCCCACCTCCCTCTTTCTTAAAAGTCAGTGGCTGTATCCACCCCTGTCGCATATGCTAACCCTATCAGGACCGACACCATACTCGCGTTGCGAAGATACTACTATGAACACGCCGAACACAGCTTTATTTCACATTTGATCACCCACACCTGCAAAACAATTTTGTTAGATTGAAGAGCACATGCAGCTGGTGAATGCCGCAAACTTCCCGCCAAAATATGAGCTTGCCTTTTTGACCCGCAGATGGCGCCAGCACTACTGTGGAATGGATGTAAATCAAAGGACTGTGGGACGCCTCGCGTTGGGTGCTCACGGGAAGACGACAAACGAGGCTGTAAAGGGCGATATGGGGTGGGCAGGTTTTGAGGCGAGGGAAGCGCAGAGCAAAATAAGGTTCGAAGAAAGGCTAAGAAATATGAAGGAGAGTAGATGGGCAGAGAAGGTGTTCCGTTATTTGTATAGGAAGAGCGTGGACACACAGTGGAGAAAAAGAACTAGAAGACTCACTAGTAAATATACGGCTGGTATTGTGAGCCATATGTCAACAAAGAGCGTTAAGGGAAAAGTCAGGGAGGCGGAGAGGATTTACTGGATGGCAGCTATGGAGAAAAAACCGGCTTTGAGTAACTACCGAAAGGGCAAAAATGAAATAAGGAGGGAGGCATTTTACGATAATTCAAGGGGAAGCGCTTTACTGTTTGAAGCGAGATCGGGTTGCCTTAGAACGCGTAGTTATAAAGCAAGATTCAGTAAAGAAGAAGAACAATGCACATGCTGCGGGAAAGATAAGGAAACGGCGGAACATGTTCTGATTGAATGTGGAGATATCCACCCAGGTGTACGTTTGGGCACGAACCTACAGGAAGCCTTGGGTTTTAGGGACAACAATGGAAAGCTGAACACACCCGCGATTGAAGTAAGAGACGGTTAGAGTATTGGTGGCAGAAAATTAGAGAGAAAGGACAAAAATAAATATTGGAAAAATAAAATATGGACAGTGTACCGTAAATGGCAGAGAACTTAAGCTGAAAATTTACCTTTTTTCCATTAAGATAGAATTTATCGAAGTAGAGGCATTAGGCCAACATAAAAAAAAGGAAAAAAGATTTTTTTTTTTGTCGAGCCTGGTGGCATACTTGTCACCACCCCGTTATAAAGGGGACGCTCATAGCATCCATCCATCCATCCAACTGCGCAATCTAGAGGCGCTAGCGCTAGTTTCTCAGCGCATTGAGGGCGGGGAGAGAGGGGGGGGATCTTGCACAGTGGCTGTCACAAAAAGGCGGCTCTCCGAGTGGTGCTGTACGCTGAACATGGCATGTGCGCGTCTCGTACCTTTGCGAGTGTTTTTTTTTTTTTTTCGTGAGGCCAGGACACTGTGTTTCCCCGTTGCAAAGGGGCAGGCCACTACCACATCAGCAGCAGCGAAGCCTTAGGAGGAAGAAGAGAGATGGGGGCGCTGCGGTCCATGCGTTGAAGGTGATTCAAAGAATGTTTCAAAACATGCCAGGTGGCGCGCGAAAATTTGTTTACATCGGTGTTGCTGCCGCAACCGCACCCACGTTGCGCTCACGCGTTCGATGCTCGACGTTTTGACAGCTTCGCACCTGCATTGTGTTTCGCGAACAGGGTTACGCATCAATGCATCTGTTCGCACTGAATC